CAGTAGCTAGGTATGAAGCTGAAGTGGAATAGCAGCTTTTGGCCAAACATGAAACAGCAGTAGAGCTTCCTTTCACCCCTACTTTCTCAAATTTAGTCATTCCTCGGAAGGGGCCCAGTAGGGAGAGCCATTGGACTGACAGCTTCCCAGCCTTCTTCATCTCTGGTGACTAAAGCATTGAACATGGCATCTGAGAGAGTCTCAGCAAGGTTCATTTTGATACTGGGCATTATTAACTGAGTGAGTGGGTTTTCACCCTTATTTGCCTGTTTAGTTTCCCCAGTATCTTAGTCTTCCTTGCCGGTGGACACAGTCAGTGAAGGTGGTTCTTTTGGCTTAGTTGATACACAGGGCTTTCATTAGAAGGGGGTGAGAACCTGAGTGAGTTTTTAGCAAGTGGCTCCCAGGCTTCATATTTACTTTCTTGATGCAACTATGGCATCATTTGATATGAGCTCTGCTGAAGCTTGAATTCGAATAATAAAAAGTATTTAAATTTTGGCTCCGCTACTCAACTTACACTCATCCGAAACTTAATAATCTGCAAATTTAAACCTGAACATAAAAATGGATTTACTGGGGCGCCTGGGTATGGCTCAGTTGGTTAAGCGTCTGCCTTCGGTTCAGGTCATGATCCCAGGGTCCTGGGATCGAGCCCCACATCGGGCTCCCTGCTTGGCGGGAAGCCTGCTTCTCCCTCTCCCACTCCTCCTGCTTGTGTTCCCTCTCTCGCTGTCTCTCTCTGTGTCAAATAAATAAAAATCTTTAAAAAAAATGGATTTACTTTTGCTTTTTTTGACCCTGTGATTTTATTGTCTGCTGCAAAACAGAAGCAAATAATGAGTAGCATCAGTGCAAAGCATGAGAAAGGGGTTGGGGACCAAACTGACTAAAAATGCTAAGAGCTGGTGTATGTCTTCTCTCCAGGATCACTGGCGGGTTGGATGGAGGTAAAATCCAGTATTCAACTGTCAACAGTTTCTTAGTATTTGTGTTGTGTACTCTGATGAAGGAATGTGTCTTGCTGTCTCATACTTCTGTAACAGCTTCCCTGCCTCAGATGACTTGCTTCCTCCTTCTTCCTTCCTGCCTGTTCCTCCCAGACTGCAAAACTCAGAGCAGGAAATCCTTCCTGGAGCCCCGAGTGTGACTTCATGCCCTCTTCTTTCTGAGCAACCACAGCTGTCTGTGCACATCTGCAGTGGTGCTGGTCACATCCTCCTGCCTTCATAAGTAGTGACTTGCTTGTTGGTTGCCCACCTCTTGAGCTTGTTTTCTGAAGACAGGTCTGGTTTTTAATTCAATTTTTATATTCCAAGCACCTAGCACAGTGTTAGGTGAGGACTCGATAAAACCCATGACTACTGCTTCTACTATGGCTACTCTTACTACTGCTGGTGGTACTATTCCTATCACTGCTGTTGCTGTGATTGCTGCTGTGGCCAGTGCTGCTGGTGAGCTAGTGGCACCCTCCCAGGCCTGGGGAGTGCACAAGCTTTCACACTGTGATCCCTTTTGGGCACCTTCCAGAGAGGGGCATGGCAAGGGACGATGAGGAGGCATGCTGGATGGAGGGAAAGGTTTGAGAGTTATGATAGGAGAAGCACTCCCTATTGTAAATGGTGATATGATTATTACAAATTTGCTATAGCTCTTGGATTTTTAAAAATAATTGTACACATGTGACACTTTCATTTTCTGTTGAATATTTGGTTTTCCCACTGATTGCTCTGACCATGGTGATGCTGTAGGAAGAGACGTAAATTTGAGTCCATCTAACACACATTTTATTAATAATCAAGCAAACACTTATTAACCTAATGAACAGGTCTCTTGGCCTGAGCTTCAGTTTCATTACAAGTTTATGATAATGTAATTATCTCTTAGTTTTTTTGAGGATGAAAAGAGGAAACCAATGTGAAAGGGATATATAAGCTGCCAGGCTCTAGACAAAATGAGGTGTTATTATATGGCTGTGGCCAATTTTTCCTGTTTGTAGCACTTTGTACTGAATGGCAAGTTTACTTGGTTTGGAGGTGAGAGCTATGGTCTGGTTGGAAGTACCAGATAATTAGGTTAAAAAAAAAAAAAAACCAAAACAAGAAAACTGGGAGCAAAGCCATGCCCCCCCACTTCACTACTTATGTGACCCATGATAAGTTCCTGAGAAAAGAATCTTAAAGCTATTTAGCTCCAAGTTCGTTCACTGTGAGGATGAAGTGGAAAAATATTTGTAAAGGTGCTGGGTACATTGCAAGTGCTTGGCCATTGTTTAGAAAGCATTCCTTCAGAAGGGCAGAGAATGGTAAAGGTGAATCAAAAAGGTTCTGAACAGGCAGCATGCAGAGGAAAAAGCCTAACTCGTACTGGTGTGACCTGAGTAAGTCCTGTAATGGCCTTAATTCCATTTCCTCAGATATGAATTGGGAGTAATAATAGTTTCTTAATTATCTCTTAGGGTTATTGTAAAAACTGAAAGTGGTAAAATATCACCCGACGTGTAAAAGTGGCTCAAAGATTTAGTTTAGAGTCATGCCTATGGTAATTCTCCTTATTTCCAAAGATGGCCTTTTTTTACTTATTTTTTTAAATCTTTTTAAAAATTATTATGTTAATCAGCATGCATTACATCATTAGTTTTTGATGTAGTGTTCCATGATTCATTGTTTGCGTACAACACCCAGTGCTCCACGCAGAACGTGCCCTCTTTAATACCCATCACCAGGCTAACCCATCCTCCCACCCCCCTCCCCTCTAGAACCCTCAGTTTGTTTCTCAGAGTCCATCGTCTCATGGTTCGTCTCCCCCTCCGATTCACCCCCTTCATTCTTCCCTTCCTGGTATCTTTTTCTAAGATAGTCTTTTTTAAAAAATAGATTTTATTTATTTATTTGAGAGAGAGAGAGGACATGAGCAGGGGGAAGGGCAGAGGCAGAAGCAGACTCCTTGCTGAGCAGGGAGCCCGATGTGGGGCTTCATCCCTGGACTCCTGGATCATGACCTGAGCTGAGGGCAGATGCTTAATGGACTGAGCCGCCCAGGCGCCCTCCAAAGGCAGTCTGAAGCCATGTCTAATTTTATAGCGATGGAATATAGTGTCTGGGATACTCTTGACAAAATGCAGGCAAGTCAACTGTGTAACTTGACTGCCTCCATTTCAGGCCACCTTTTGGGTGATGAAACAATGAAAAGAATACATGAAGATGAAGGAGGAGAGGAAAGAGGCACAGCTGGTGAGAAATGGAAAGATGATGTCAGAGCAAGAAGTGATGAAAATTCTAGCAATTTTTTTTAAGTAGGCTTCCATGCCCAACACAGGGCTTGAACTCACGACCCTGAGATCAAGACCTGAGTTGCAAGAGTCGGATGCTTAACCAACTGAACAGCCCAGGCGACCTGCAAATTCTAGCAACTTTGATCAGATGAAGGCTTTCTTCCTGAGCCCCTCTCCCCAGTCCTTTCTATGGAAATCCTTGTAAAGAGGAAGCAAACCAAAGCACGTTGGGAAAAGCCCCATGTGGTGGGGAGAGTGCCAGGGCCCCTGCCTGAGGAAGCAGGCTCCGGACACTGACTCAGTGTATTCTTCAGCGAAGTTGGGACTATGTAATAATGACATGTATTGAAATTGTACTGTGTGTGCCACCTGGACATTTTTAGTGAATTCTCAAAAATAATGTCAGGCCAGTTGTGAAGCTGAGATGTTCCCCAGTTATGGAGTTAGTAGGTGGCAGAGTCAGGATTTGAACCCAAGTACTCCACATTACCTCCCCCTTTCAGCTTTAAGCTTCTACACCATGGTGGCCAAAGATGTCTGAGCAAGCAGATCTGTGGGGGCACCACTCAGAAGTGGTTTATGTTAGCAGTTTGTTTTATTGGTCCTTCTAAAGGTAGAGCTGGCGCATAAGCTCTTTTACCCCTGAGAGCTCAGGGAATAAACAGAGTTGGTTTCTGACAGGTTTTTAAATTGAGAAGAATGTAAATACTGGCTTGTAGACTAGTAACAGGGCTTCCATTGCAGGGGCAAGCAGAAGAGTAGCCTGTGAACTAGCCCAGAGGAGTGAGGTGACCCAGGAGACCCTGGTATTTCGGATGCTAAAGGAGTGGGGATCCCTTCTCAAAGGTCATGGTGCTAAACTGTGCCCAGTACTGCTAAGAGGTTAGACCAAACAAGAACCAAAAAGGCCCATGAGATTTACCAGTTAGAACACAGATGGCTTCACTAGTGTTTGAAATCAAATCACTCATCGGGCGCCTGGGTTGCTCAGTCGTTGGGTGTCTGCCTTCGGCTCGGGTCGTGATCCCAGGATCCTGGGATCGAGTCCCGCATTGGGCTCCCTGCTCTGCGGGAAGCCTACTTCTTCCTCTGCCACTCCCCCTGCTTGTGTTCCTGCTCTTGCTGCGTCTCTCTCTGTCAAATAAATAAATCTTAAAAAAAAAAAAAGAAATCAAATCACTCATCTCATTCTGTTTCTATTTAAAAGGATTTGCCCCAGTTGTCGTTCTTTAATTTTGCCCCCAGTTTTGGGGATTGTGGCTTCTTTTGGGCCACTCTGTGCATCCGCTACTTCATACAGCTCATGTAAAGTGCCTTGTCACTGAAATTATCCCCCTGATTGTTAAATCACCATGAAGATACACTTCTGCTGCAGCTGCATAGCTCAACAGTCTCCAGAAGACCCTCCAAATCTTTTCTGGACCAGGTTGTTTAAGTCAGTCAACAAATCTGCAATTATAATGATCATGTTTGCCTTCAAACATATTTTAGCTGCATCAGAGAGCTAATGTATTTTTTTTAAACTTTTTTTTATTAAAAAATATTCCAGTCATGCATTTTGATGGCTGGAAGAGTGAATTAATAGTAGTCTAATCTCCCTGGAGACACAGATGCTTTTGTGAGCTAGCACTGAGGTAAGGCTGCACATCTCGGTGGGAATGACAAGTGAATGAGTCTGCCGCTCGCTTAACCTGCTGTTCTTTTCTCTCTCTATTTTCTCTCCTAGGAAACAGATGGAAGACTGCTGTGACCCCGCCCATCTCTTTGCTATGACTAAAATGAATTCCCCCATGGGGAAGAGCATGTGGTATGATGGGGAGTTTTTATACTCATTCACCATTGACAATTCAACTTATTCTCTCTTCCCCCAGGTTAGTATAGTTTGTTGTTGCCTTTCAATTTAGTTTCCTGTGTATCTTGATATCGTAGGGAAAAGATAATTGAGTTTGCCTAATTAATCAGATCTCCTTCTTTTCATCTCCTTTCTTCTTTTCCTCATTATAAATGTTTTTCTTTATAGCTGTCACCTTTTTTGGTGAAGAAATCACATAATGTTTCCATGCAGGGGCAGAAGTAATAGTTTTCCTAGCCCTTCTGATTTGAGAATATCAGGGCTCATATGAGCCCTTCTCATATGAGACTGAAGGGAGCGAGCAGAGAAGGAAGCAAGATCAGGAATTGTGGAATTCTCGTGTTTTGAGGTTGGCTGTGGAATGATCTTGAAGATTTGCAATACTGGAATGTTTTCTTAGGACTGGTGTTGCTCTCGGGGACTGGGGACCATATGGTCAGAAGTTTGCTTCTTAGAGCTCTTGGATCTTAACCCTGTGGTTAGACACTGTTCTGAAGTGGAGGAGTGGTGGATAGGGAGAGAAAGGATTCCACCACTTTTGAAGTGGTCTCAATCAAGCCTTGTTTACTTAAGGTTTTTCTTCTTGGTTTCCTGTGCAATGAAATCAAATGTTTTACTAAAATATATGCAGTGAAAGGGAAAAGCAGAGAAATCGTTATTTCTAGGGAGCCCTAGTTGGAGAGGGGGATGGTTCTTAGGTGCCATTAGGGAGAAATGGAGAAATGAAGCTTGGCCTCGCCAAGTCTTCAAGCCACTCCTGGTTTGGCCAGATGATCAGGCAAAAAGGGAATTCACAGTTAGAGTTGGCAAAACAGAGCTGGACCTTTCGTGTATCTGTATTAATAGCGATGAGTCTTCAAAGGAGGGAGCCGATGAAGCTGAGACATAGGCCCTGCCAAATCCAAAGACACATTCTCTATGAAATAGCCCATCTCTGCTAGTTCATCCCTAGATGTGTTAGTTGAACTTAATGGTCTTAGTGTGTAATGATGTTTTTAAAAAATTTTTTATTTTAAAGTAGGAAAGTAGAAGGTTGAATTCATGGCCATCATCCATGTGTTTTCTCTCTCTTCTCCATTTGCCCTTGGGAAGCTTCTCAGTGTCAAAGGAAATGAGTAAGAATGGTAAAATGTGAGATTGAATTTCTTCTCCATTCCTTACTAACCAAATGCCCCGCTAAGTCACCTAACTCTTCTGAGACTCAGCTTTCTCATCTGTGCAGTGGGGAGAGCAGTACCTGTCCTCCCACCTCACCGAGTTGTGGTCAGGATCAAGGTGGATAATGCATGTCGCTGTACTTTAAAAACACACAAAGCATGATGTAATTGTCCTGGTTCATATATCGCATCTTCAGATTGAGGAATGAAGGATATGATTGCATTTTCAGGGTTTAAGGCAGGGAAGAGAAATCTTCCTAGGTATTTTTTAGCAGAAAAATATTTCTTATTGGGAATTAGGTGCTTTAAAAAGCGTTAGAAAGAATGGAGAAGTGGTAGTCAAGAGGTGGCTGCTGGAATTACTTAGTTCAAGAATTTACTGCCATAACTGTGGTTAAGAGATCAGAAAGCCCCGGCTGCCACTGCTGTTAACATGGTCACAACAGTCTGTGACAGAAACAGGGTCAGGAAGATGGGTTCCTATTCATCTTCTCCTTCCAAATCTCCCTCAAGTGCATCTAATGGGGAAGATTAATTTGCATCTGGAACATTAGTTGCAGAGAAATCCAGGAGGGGCAGTTTTTAAAACAATCAAGCTTCAGGGCACCTGGTGGCTCAGTTGGTTAAGCGACTGCCTTCGGCTCAGGTCATGATCCTGGAGTCCCAGGATCGAGTCCCACATCGGGCTCCCTGCTTGGCAGGGAGTCTGCTTCTCCCTCTGACACTCCCCCCCTCTCATGCTCTCAGTCTCTTATTCTCTCTCTCAAATAAATAAATAAAATCTTTAAAAAAATAAAATAAAATAAGCTTCAGCAGGAAGCTAGGAAAAAGATGGAATAGAGGGTGAACAGGCCAATCCATGGTACCCTTTATGTACAAAACCTAATATCAACTTGCTATGAAGTGAAGAAGAGATAAGGAAGCAATCTTCTTTAAAGCTCATCAAATAGAAACATTTTTAAAGAAATCCAAAATAGTCTTTTTATACACAAGGGTTTTCAGTCATCCCAACTGACTTCTAACTTTGTACTAGCAAATAGATTTGAAGAAAAGAGATGATTAAAGAAATACAAACTAGCCTCCTATCTTATCTGTCAGGTGCAGCAGTAAGATCGCAGGAAACATTTCCTTTTTAAAGCGTGTGCACATGAATTCTGTGCTTCTTTGTGCTGGTTGCAAGACCAAGGAACCATCCCTGAATAATAAGGAAAAATGCTTTTTCTTAGGAAGCAGAAGTCATTACATCATTGTGTGTGTGCAGTCATGACAAAGAGCTAAACCAATTCAACGAGTAGATTTTTTAAAAAGTTACGCGTGTATTTTTCTGCTGAGATTCTGAAATGACTAATTTATAGAAATCCCGGAAAATCAGTTTGCAGCAATAAAAAGGATGGTATATATCCCTGTGCCCTCACTTCATTATTATTCCTTAGTGAAATATTCCTACATTGTTATCAGGAAGCTAAGTTACCGGTTAATTGATATGCTTCATTCATATTCCTATGGGAAGAAAGTTGTGTGTGCTAGTCAGGCAGAAAGGCAACTAAGTGGGCTAGGCTCGATGTTGTTGGTTGAACAAAGCATCCCTTCTTTCCCTGAATTTCAGCAAAATAATGCCAAATCACTCATGTTGTAACTCAGATGTATAACTCTACATCACATTTTAAATTATATAGTTTAAACGGTTAATCTTAATTTTATTACACTTTCCTCCTAAATGCTCAATGTATGTTAGCTGTCATCATTATCATTATTCTGTTGCCTACCTTTATCCACTGTTTTTTTTTTCTTGCTCCTGGGGTTGTTGCCAAGAAGCAATACAAGGTCCTGCATGTATTGTGCAAAGTTAACAGGCCCTGAATCAAGGCTGGAGAGTCCAAGGAGGGTCCAAGGAGAGCCAGTGTGCATTTTATTTATTTATTCACTTATTTATTTATTAAAGGTTTTATTTATTTATTTGACAGAGAGTGCATAAGCAGGGGGAGTGGCAGGCAGAGGGAGGGAGAGAAGGGCTCCCTGCTGAGCAAAGAGCCCAATGCAGGACTTGATCCCAGGACCCTGGGATCATGACCTGAGCTGAAGGCTTGAGTGGCTTAACTGACTGAGCCACTCAGGCACCCCGCCAGTGTTCTTTGAGATGCCAGAGTGAATCTCCTTAATTACAATTTTCTTTCTTTCTTTCTCTTTCTTTCTTTTTCTTTTTCTTTCTTTCTTTCTTTCTTTCTTTCTTTCTTTCTTTCTTTCTTTCTTTCTTTCTTTCTATCTTTCTTTCTTTCTTTCTTTCTTTCTTTCTTTCTTTCTTTCTTTCTTTCTTTCTTCTTTCTTTCTTTCTTTCTTTCTTTTCTTTCTTTCATTAGTTGTTTCTTATTTGGACCTCTGTAACTTCCTATAGTGTTATTATCAAATTCATTCAGTTCCACCTCATATACAGTTATCTACATGACTACATATCCACATGTTACAGTTTTCTGAAAGTCCTTATCTGCTGATCTCAATACCATCTTGTGAGCTTTTGAGGAACAAGAGTATTATTTCAGTGTTGGTCCTAGTGCAGGATTTCCCACTTGATAGAGATATTCATTTCCAGCTGCTTGTGTTTACCTAGGGCTCCCTGTCTTTATCCTGCCTGGGGTGATCCACTGCAGTGCCCTGGCTTGAGCAGTTGGAGACCAAGCAGGACATTTTGATGCAGCTATTTCCAATGGCTCTATAAATGTATTTTCATCAAGTATTGGTTGAACATTATTAGGCTTAAAGGGCTGAATTTTAACTCTTACATAGATTTTTCTAGAATATGCAGTGTGTGTGTGTGTGTGTGTGTGTGTTTGGAGGGGACATTGTTTTTTTTACAATATATACTATTTTTATCTTTTTTTAAATTAACATATAATGTATTATTTGTTTCAAGGGTCCAGATCTGTGACTCAACAGTCTTATGCAATTCACGGTGCTCACCATAGCACATACCCTCCGCAATGTCTATCACCCAACCACCCCATCCCTCCCACCCCCTCCACTCCAGCAACCCTCAGTTTGTTTCCTGAGATTAAGAGTCTCTTATAGTTTGTTTCCCTCTCTGGTTTTGTCTTGTTTCATTTTTCTGGAGGGGACGTTGTGATGGTAAGTGTTCCTACTTTGAGAATACTCCCATCTCCTGCGTCCCCACTTCCTGCTTTGCCAAAGACTGTCCCTTTTAAGTATGCATGGTCCCATGTGTGTAGATATTACTTAAATAAATACTCTTTTGACCTAAAATGTATTCATGCCCAGAAAAAGCATAAATTTCCTTGGACATGAGTGAGGGAGCAGCAGGAATGTTAGAAACCACAAGTGTGCAGTTATAATCTGAAAAATATTTCCTTTTGGTGTAATAAAAACACGATCAGCTCACTCTTCTCTTATATTGTGCTGAATCGTCATGTGATATAAATCACAAGCCAGACTAGCCATTTTTTTCTCAGAATATCCACCCAAGGCCATTTGTAAAGAATCACAAAGCATCATTAATGCACCCCAGACACACTCATTTCCAACTCCTCTGGTTGCCATAAGCTCTCTGACGCGTTCCACTTGGCCTGGACCTGCATTGCCCTTGGCCTGTGGGAAACCCAGCAGGACATTCTGAAGTAGTTTTGTCTAAATGGCTTTGTTAAAATGAAAATACACATTTTTTTTTTCCTTTACAGTCATGTGTTTAATAGAATCATCTGAGTTCCTGGATATCCCTGAGTCTCACAGCAATTTTTTTTCCTGCTAATGAAATTTGGATTATACTATTTTTCTATAGCATTTGGTAACTTGTTTTTTTACTTATCAATATTATTGTGATAATTTTTCCAATCACGTACCTTTTTGACTAGAA